TGTGCTTCTGTTAATGTGACCTAAGAGCTAAGTCACCTCCTTTGGGCTCTAGTTTCTTAAACTGATGTGTTCAGAGTAGATGATCAAAGTGATATAGTGAAGAAAAGCTGTCTCTTTCATCATCTGTCTAATGAGGATAACAATATCTCTTAAGATTGTTGTGAGGATGAAACTAATTAGTAAGTATGGCACCTTTAACCCAGTTCCTGGCCTATTATTTTGGTTACTTTATGTTGCTCTAACAGAAAATACCACAGGTGGGTGGCTTTAACAAACAGTTTATTCCCCTACAGTTTTGGAGGCTAGAAGTTCAAGTTCAAAGTGCCAGGCTCTAGGGACTGGGTGAAAGCTCCTTGACTTTGGACTTCAGCTCTGCCTCTTGCTCTTGGTCCATAGAAGCTAGAGGCATCTCTTCACTCAGGCAGTTGCTAGCTACTGAGGCTAACAAGCACAAGGTCGACAAATAAAATGGCACAGTCCCGATGTTACCAAACCACACAGAAGGACATTATTCAAGTCCAGAAAATGTCCCAAGATCAGCAGGGCAACATGACGAGCTGCTGAACAACTTGGCTATATGCAGGGTTCAAGCATGCCATAAGCTGGAGACCTTCCTCAAAGTCACTTCTTGTATACTAGGAGCAGACTCAACTGATCCAGTAGATTCCACCATGGAGTTGATTACCAATCTCACCATGGGGAATAACTACAACCAGCTGCCCAGCCACTCAACCAGGCCCAGGCAAGCAGACACAACCTTAACTACCACACCTGCTATAAGCAGTCTGCTGTTATTACATGCTGTCAAGTTAGACCCAACTCATAGTGACCCCTTCTTGGGTTTCTGAGGCAGTATCACTACGGAAGTAGATTGCCCAAAATTCCAAGGAGTAGCTGGTGGGTTTGAACCGCTAGCCTTCTGGTTAGCAGTCAAGTGCCTTAAGGCACTACACTACCAGAGCTCCATAAGCAGTCTATAAAAGTAGTTTTTATTATTAGTCTTTCAGATCTGCTTGGAAGATCACAGTTGCTGTAAGTAATTCCACTGTACTCCTAAATTATGGTCAATAAAAATTAGCTGATTTTTTTCACATAAATTGTACGTAGAAAGATCTTTAAATTGTATTTGTACAATTTTTTTTAACAAACTTTTTTTGGAAAAATTTTATATTTACAGAAAAGTTGCAAAAAGTGTAGACTTCCTACTAACCCCTCACTCAGTTTGTTTCCCCTAATTTTATTCTCTTACAATACTGTAGTACCTTTGTCAAAACCAAGAAACTAATACTGGTACATTACTATTAATCTATTCAGATGTCACAAGTTTTCTGTTAATGCCATTTTTCTGTTCCAGGATCCAATCCAGTACACCACTTTATGGTTGGTTTTAACCCAAATATTGTGAGTTTACATTTATCTTTGTTTTATTTAATCATCTTGTTAATTCTGAATCTTGAATAGGATACCTAGCATGTTCAATAAAAATTGGGGCTTTGTCATTTACAAATCCGGTATTTACATTTCTATGCCCTTAATTATTGCCAAGTACTAAACAAATTAGGTCCAAAGACAAAGACCTGTGGTACTGCACTAGATACCTATTCTTTTATTACAGTGGTTCAACCAACTGCAAATTTCCCTACTATGACGACTATAATCTACATCATATTTCATCATTTTAATCACAAGGTTATCATGATGAGAATTTTATAATATGGTGAAAGATATTATTTCCCCCCTTTTTTTTAAATTGTGATTTGGGTGAAAATTTACAGAGCAAATTCACTTTCCATACAGCAGTTCACATATACTTTGTCTCATGACACTGACTACAATTTACCCCAATGTAACAGCTCCCTTTCCACTTCCTCCCCATAGTTACCTTTTCCTTATGTCCATCCCTCCATGCACTCCTACCCCCTGAGCTGTCTCCCTGCGCAGAAACAGCCCTTCTTTCTCCCATGATTATTCTCTCCAAGGAGTATATCTACTTCAGGTAAATGTTCAACTTATATGCCTGTCTTTTATTTGTCTGGAAGCCACAGGTGTGGGTTCAATTCCAGACCTGAAGGGCAGCTAGGGGCCATAGTCTCAGTGCTTCCATCAGGCTCTATCAGACCAGCAAACCTGGTCTCCCTCTTTTTTTCCAAATGATTTTGAGTTTTATTCCACATTGTTCTCCCTCTCTATCCATGATTTTCCCTTTTTGAGTATACAAAAATGATTTGCTCTGCCACTTGGAGTCAGTAAGATGGTGAGAGTAAAATCTTTGTACTAGGATCTCAGACAGTCCATTTTAACCATTATGGTTTCCCTCCGTTCAGATATTTTGACTTTTTGTTACACTTTTTGTGTGTATGTGAGCTTTGGGTACAAATTTACAGAGCAGAATTTGTCTTACATTCAACAGTTTGTGTTCATTTGGTTTCACCCCCTTGCCCCTGATTACCATCCCTAACCCTAACCCACTCTCCTCCTCTCCCTTCCCTGTGACTCCCCCCAATCCCGGTGCCCTTCTTAGATACGCACTCCTGTCTGTCCAGCTTTCCTTCCATATTAATGCTGCCCCCCTGGTGCCCCATGGCCAGTTACTCCAAGGAGTGTATCTCCATAGAGTATGTGGGTGCATCACCCTGGGTTGGGTGTTCTGCATGTAAGCCTTTCTACTATTGGGCTGAGAGCCAGTCCTTGGGAATGAGTCCTACCCCAGGCCCGAAGTATATCCCAGGGCCATAGTCTTGGGGGTCCCACCAAACTCCATAAACGTCACATTTAAAGCTGACTCAGAAGAGATCAAACCAGCAACATAGATATGTAGTCTGATTACTGCCTTTTAACACTTTTGAGATAGTGTCTAAAGAGGGGGCTATTGCTTTTAGAAAGCATAACAGATTTTAAAATAGACCAAAGTCAAAACTAGGCAGTTTTGTTTGTTCTGAGAGGAACTGGCAGCAGAAACTGACAGATGACAAACTGGCAGCAGAAACTGACAGATGACAATGCAGTGTGATCCTGCAAGTGTGGTTTCTAGAGGTTAAATGTCAGATGGTTGATGTCAAAAGAGAAAACATAAACTATTCATTGCACTTGGTTAAATTTTCAGTAAAGTCATATGACTGAGGGAATATCCTAACTGGTGTTGTGATAAATGGGTACAGTTGCCATTTAAGCTATTTAGTTTTCAACTCAATGTTGTCTGGAGCCACCCAAGTTAAGGAAGTTTCTCAGCTTCCTGATGAGGGTGGCCTCTTAATTTAGAATGTGCTTCTCTTATAAGGTTGGTCCTGTTTTAACAAGTTCCCTTAATTTCTGCTTCTCTGAAAATCTCCTAATTTCACCATCATATTTGAGGGACAATTTTGCTGGGTATATAATTAGTTGGAAATCTTTCTCTTTCAGGGTTTTATATATATACCATACCATTGCCTTCTCGCTTGCATGGTTTCTGCTGAGAAATCAGAACTTATTCTTACTAGTTGTCCTTTTTAAGTAACTTTTAATCTTTCCTATGCTGCTTTCAGGATTTATTCTTTGTCTTTGGTTTTGATGAATTTGATGATGATATGTCTTGGTGATTTTCTTTTGGGGTCTATCCTGTTTGAGGTTCGTTGAACTTCCTGAATGAATATATCCTCATCTTTCATCCTATCAGGGAAGTTCTCTTCCAACAAATCTTGGACAATTTTCTCAATGGTTTTATTTTTCTCTTCCTGTTCTGAAATTCCAATTACATGTAGGTTATTCCTTTTGATGGTATCCCACATGAACCTTAAGCTTTCTGCATTTTGTTTTGAGCTTTTTTCTGACTGATCCCTTTCCAAAGAACTAGTCAAGTATTTGTCTTTAATCTCATTAATTGTGTCTTCCATTGATTCAATTCTATTCCTTTGTCCTTTCATTGTGTTATTTCTGAAAATTTAGTATTAATCTTCTGGATTTCTATCTGTAGATTTGTATCATTTTTCATTTATTTTGTCATTTTGTTCTTGTATTTTCTTCCAAAATTCTAGTAGGGTTTTTTCTGTGTTTTCTTTGGTCTGTCTCTCAATCCTCTGCAGATATCTAAAGATAATTCTTTTGAATTCCTTATCAGAGAGTTCCAATGCTGCTTCTTCCTCAGGGATGTGTTCTGGGTCTGTATCCTGTTCCCTTGTTTCTACCACTTTATCCTGCTTCGTTGTGTGGACTGTGATGGTCTGTTCTGAGACACTGTGATGTTGTTGTATTTAGATTTCTGTTAACTGTTTGTGAAGAGCAGTAAGGGTGAGTCAGGCTCTCCTTGACTGTCATTTATTGTTGGCCAGTTGGTGGAGAAGGAAATGGTGACTCTCACTCAGTAAGTGGAGCTGCAGGAGGTGCAGGTGTGGTTGCATGCACTGTTGCTGTCTCTCACTCAGTTAGACAAGCCTCCCACATTAGCTGCAGTCCTACCTTGTTTATGGACACTTCTCTTTTGAGCCCTCCACAGGTTTCTGCAGTTAGCAACTCAGTAAATGCCTAACACAAAATGAGATGTGTTTCACTTCTCTTTTGAGCCCTCCACAGGTTTCTGCAGTTAGCAACTCAGTAAATGCCTAACACAAAATGAGATGTGTTTCATTCAGTTAGGGTTGTCTGGGTCACAGAGCACTCTCTCATAGATGAGTGTGCATAACTGAAGTTAGAGAAACATCTCTTGGAACTCAGTTTCTCATTATTTTCTCTCTCTCTCATCTCATAGGTGTTTTTGGTGAAAGGTTTAATACTGGCTTTTGAGTTTGATGTAAACCACACTGGAGTTAGAAAAGCAAAACTGAAGAACCTATTCAGCATTTCTCAAGCTGAAAGAACTGAAGAAAAAATTCTAAAGGCAAAATATTGAAATGATGCAGGAAGCATAAAAAAAAAAAAAAAAAAAA